AACAGCGAACATTGTTTCAGAGGCGCAGCCAGGGGATTCATGGCAAAACCATGACCCTTATTGGTACGGCTGCCCTTCTCTGGTGCTGAATTAGTACGGGAAACATGCGTGTTACGCCGAGATAAAGAAAGATGTTCTGAACATCTTGCTGAATCGTAAGCGGTTTCTAACTGCCGTTGCATGTAACCTTATCGTGGCTGAATGGTCGCGTGATCCCACCTCGTTCTCCCGCTGACCTCCTGTTCCCTCGTAGCCTGTCCGAAATCACGGGGGCCCAATCATACTCCGTAATCCGAGTTAATCTTGTTCTGGTTGATAATCCTCCTAATCCGTAATCCGCGCTGCAATTTGTGGGTCCAAACCGTATGTTGGAGCATGACAAATCCATGCAACCTATAATCCGTAATCCGCAATCCGCTAATCATTGGGGATTGGGGATTGAACAAGTCTCAACCACCCTTGTGCATGGCCCTACCTCGTTTTGGGGGTGTTCCTACCTCGTATTGTACCTTATTCAGTGCCCCCCCGCCCCCCCATCCGCCCCCGCGAATACATTCGGTCGGGTCGCCGACTCCGCAAAAGCTGCCCTCTGGAAGGCCCTGCGGCAGGTGATTGTGATTGCCCAGGAAGGTGTGGTCGCCTGGGTCATAGATGGTCACGGGTCTGTGACAGCCTACGGAAGTGATACCGGCCAAAGACCAAAACGCACGAGGGGTGAAAGGTGCGTGAACATCCCGTTGCAAAATATCCAACAAAACACCACCAGGGATTGTATATGGGAGAAAAGCCGCCCTGATCAAGTCTGGGGTGATATTCCATTGATAGTTCTAAACCTTGTGGCGGCAAACTAACAACAACAGCTTGGGACGGCCGTGATCTAGAAAACTATCCATCTTGCAGTCCAATCACATACCCTCAAAAATTATGCAAGCTTTCCGATGGGCGACCATTGACGGGGGATTTCACAAACCTCATCTTTCCAGGCAGTTCCGAGCTTCCTTGGTTGTTGTAAAGGGCACACACCTTTCAGCATTTCCGTTTGTCGGGCGGTTTTGCTTTTGACTGCAAGTGCCGGCGACAAGCCCGTTTCAGCATCCCCAGCTATGTTCCTGCTGTTTGTGCTTAACGCAGGTGCGCTCGCATGCTGTGTTTTGGCGTTGCACCCGCCAGTACAACGTCCTCGTTCTTTCAAAGGTATAAGGACCTAAGCTTCCACTGCAGCCTTGATAACCGGCCGAGACTGCAGTGACAACTAAAACAACAAACTGGCATAAACCTTTCATAACAACAAACCGCTCCAGAGAGTACGACGGCAACCAGCGTCGGTCGATTTATTTTCACCGCACTGCCTCAAGTGGGTGGGATCGTACCTGTTGGTCGATCTGTTTCAATCTCTGGAGTCGGTGTGCGTGTCTCTCAGACACCACTGACTCGAAAGTAAAGTACAACAAAATAAAAGGTAAGCAAATGCAAGTGCATGCAAACCCAAAATGTTGTACAGCAGAGTTTCGAAGAGGGAGTGGACGTTCTCCCGTCCTCTCACTCGATGCTATAAATGCAGACCGACAGGTACTGAGGGCATGCAGTGAAAACTGGTGAGGGTGGGTGGGAAAGAAAGATTTTGGCTAATTCGCCAAAATGGCGAACGGAGCATGAATCAAGCAGTGTCATCCTGCAGGCACTCAAGGTTCGAATCTGAGTGTGATTCAAATGCCTTCCGCTATCGGTTGTTACTTATAACACAAGTGTTAACCGCAACAACAAACCGCTCCAGAGAGTACGACGGCAACCAGCGTCGGTCGATTTATTTTCACCGCACTGCCTCAAGTGGGTGGGATCGTACCTGGTGGTCGATCTGTTTCAATCTCTGGAGTCGGTGTGCGTGTCTCTCAGACACCACTGACTCGAAAGTAAAGTACAACAAAATAAAAGGTAAGCAAATGCAAGTGCATGCAAACCCAAAATGTTGTACAGCAGAGTATCGAAGAGGGAGTGGACGTTCTCCCGTCGTAGGTCAACTCCCGTCGAAGGTGAAGCCGAAGGCGAACGACCTAGACAAAAGGCACGTTGAAGGCATCCTTACATCGATCAAGTCTCCTTACTGTGGACAAGATTCTCACGGGACGTGGAAGTCAAGTCGGGTTCAGGAGGAATGATTCCTGTGGAACTGTTGGAGTTCCTTTATGTCGTCAAATCCGACGGCATGGGCGAACTCAATATCGCCAATGATTTTGCACGTCCGTTTATGTAGAGCGTGCATGGGGGGTTCCAGAATCTGCCAGTGGTGCTTCGAGGCAAGGGACATGTCATGTCGACTGAAGGGGTCGGCTATATTAGCATGTGTGGGCACACGGGCAATATGCAACTGCAATTGCTGTCGGTTGTGCCATGTCCAATGTGCACCGAGCAGGCAGTTTAGTGGTTGGTGTTTCCCAACTCCCCGTCTGATGGCGTGTTTGGCCGCTTCGTTGTCGCACAACTGGAGGTATGTGTCAGTGATCCATGGTCGAAAGATCACAGGAGCGATCAACGCGGCCCATGCCTCGAGGAAATAAATGGCGTTGGTGCCAGTACTCACTTGTTGGAGTAAGTTAGGGGGTAGTGCGCCCGAGACCACGCGGGTCCTTTGTGCCTGTGGGCTGAACAGCACCGCTGCCCATCCGTTGTCGTGCGACCAATCGGGTGGCAGACAATCCTGATCCCCTGCGTCCTTGACACGCCAGACCGTCTCGCCCTGCCGGCAGAACGCGTCGGTGTATATGATTGAAAGGTCTCTGGGCCTGGTGGACAGTGGGACGCTGCGGGGTGAGCTATGTTGCAGGATATTCAGGAGGCACAGAATGGCAGCTCGAGTTGGTTTGTCGATCCGGTCGGAAGTGCTGTGTGCTTTGTGGTATAGGGCGGCTAACGCCGATCGCCCTACTCGACCGAACAGGTGTCCGGTGACAAAGTTGCACTTGCCGGCAGTGCGTCGGGCGGTGTCGTTCGACATACCTCCCTGTTCGAGACACTGAGACAGGGTGTGTGACAGTGTACGGACTCGGTCTGGGCACGGTCGAAGGGTTGCGTGTGTTGCCGACAGGTCGACATAAACCCCTTGTATTTTGTGAGAGGGCGCCGGTGGTTGTTCCTTGGATGTCTTCATATGAAATCCAAGTAGTGAGTTGAGCTTGCTGAATGAGGAGAAGGAACTGGTCGCGATGTGACTGGGTTGTATGGCCCCGTAGTCGTCAACGTAGTGCAGGGCAGGTGTGAGTGTTAGTACGCGGGCGAGTGCTGTGAGTGCATCGCCGAAGCGGTTGTAGCCCCAGACGCTGGCAGCGGAGCCGAACAGGAGCACGTGGTGGTGCCAGAGAGTTGGGCCGTTGGGTGTGATGAGTAGCACGTATGCTACCTCCGGTTGTGCGAGGGGCAGTTGACGGTAGGCGCCGTCGTGGTCGTGTCCCCACACATGTAGCGGGTGTGCGTCGTCGTGATATTGTCTCGCACATTGGATGTAGTGGTCGGGTGTGTGATGGTAGGGTTGATCGTGCATAGAGCACGTCTGGTTGTGGCCGCTGCGGCGCCAGTCTTCTCCTCTCCGGACTTTGGGTTTTCCGTCCGATCCGGTCTGTTGTATGCTGAATGCGACTGCCACAATGGGATCGCGATGTGGGATAGGAAGGAGCCGGCTGGTGTGGGGGAAAAGGTGCAGGGGTACTGTGCGAGAGGTCCAATGAGTCGGTGCCTCGAAGGGGCCGGCCATACGTCCTTGGGCCACTTCCCCCGCGATTTCGGTGGCCATAAGAGTCCAGTGGTCGTCGATCTTGTGTTGTTGTAATTTGCGCTGGATGTAGGCTTTGTTGAATGACCTGAGTTCTACAAGGTCACATGGGTCCAGGTATTTGTGGTCGTGGCGAATGTGCCAATTGACTCCGGGTCGCAGAGGCCCCAGGAGGTCGAAGCCTAGAGAGAGTTCCTCGTGCAGGAGTTGTGCCTGTGGGTAGTTAAGCAAATGTAGCAAGTGTGTCATGAGTGGTACCTGAGTGATCATCTTCGGTTGTCGATAGGCTCGCTGGCAATGTGGGGGCAGCTGTTCGAACCATGCAAGTGTATCTGTAGTCAGGTCATCGCGAAGGTCCGCGATGTCGAGTAACACGTTGTGCTGTAGTTGTGGCAGTTGTGGTATGGTCCTTTGCATTGCGATGGCCCACAAAATGGTCGGGTCGCAGTGCTGGGGCTGTTGCAGCGAGGTAGCGTGGTGTTTGGCCCAGGTCAAGTGGTCCTGCCAGTCGTTCTGTGGCATATGTAGCGTTTCCGATGCTCTCGGAGGTGGTCCCCATGGTCGTGGGTTGTGAAGCCAGAGGTCGACCATCATTCCGAGGGATCCGCGACGTACCCGCTGCGTGGGCGGGGGAATTCCGAAGGCTGGCTGTAGTAGCAAAAGGAATAGGATCCACATGGCTGTGGGCACATGCCAGGAGTTTCCCAGCATGGTGTTCCTGGTCCGGTCGGTGTTGTGTGGTCCCGTCCAGCCGCGCGGGAATCCCATCATTGCTTCGCGGTGCTCGGGTGTTGCGACTTGCCAGTCGTGTCCGTGTTTCCGGACCAGGTATTTCTGTTGGTATTGCCACGGGGCGAATTGTTTGTGGTCGGCTTGCCACCGTTGCCATGTGTCGTCTGGTAGTTGTTGGCTGCGTGGTGGTGGGCGGCCTTCGTCCGTACTGGCCTGGGTGGTAAGGCAGTGGAAGAGTTGTCCGTGTGTTAGGACACTCGGCGGGTCGAAGTCCCGGATGTGACAGTCTGGTTGTAGTTCGGCTGCAATGGGATTGAAGAGCACCGGTGGGAACAGCTGAGTGTCGAGGGAGAGTTGCCAAGGTGTATGCCTGCTCAATGTGGCAGGCAAGGATTCCCAATCGACCGAGGCCCACCAGATTCTGGGACGAGAGATGATTTGGCCGTCGGCCGCGTCGATCAGGACTGGGCGTAGGCCCATGGAGTGGGACAGCTGGTCGAAGTCGTCGCGTACCTCGGGGTGAGGCACGACATTCTCTAGCAGGGTGAGCGATTGATGTGGCCATCTGTTCTGAATGTCGTCGCGGATGGAGAGTGCGGTGTCGAAGAGGCTGCCCTGTGAGCCGGCCCGGCCCGGTTGGTGTTGTTTAATGTTGGAGTAGTCCTTGCACGGTGGGCCACCGGTGAAGAGGATAATGTGTCTCTCGTGATTGGGTATGTCCTGGATGATCGCAGCCAGTTGTTCGATGTCAAAATCTTCTACGGCGCCCATGTGCGTCGTGGGGAAGAGTGAATGAGGTAGCTGATTGCAGGACTGATCGGTTTCCCACCGGAAACAGTGGGAGACGTTGGCGCCCAGTTGGTGCAGGGCAAGTGACACTGTGCCGATCCCGTCGAAAACTGAGAGCAGGATAATGGGCGTGTGTTGTATGAGTTGTCTGGTAAGATGGAGGCAACGCGCCGGGTCGGCTCCAGGGGACTGGTCCCCTGGGCCGTGCTGTCCCTAACGCGCCTTGTTCTTCCCGTGGGATTTGGTGCCTTTCTTGCCTTTCCCGGACCCCTTCTTTCCTTTGGGTGTGTCGCCCTTGAACGAGGGTCCTGGGGTTGTAGGCATCGAGGGGATGGCGGTTGGCGAATTGGGTTGGT